ACCCAATCGCCAAATCCTGGTGGCGGAGAATCATCATCCACCACCATTTTTATTTCGGTTTGTTCGGGCTACAACTGTAGGTATTTTTTGAAAGCTGTAGAGATGAAATATGAGCAATGACCTCGTCGGGACTCGAACCACGGACCCCTCGAATACGCGCCGATCGTGTTGACCACTACACCACGAAGGCATGCTAAGAAGGCGAGAGAAATACCTTATAAGGTCTGGGTTGGTATGGTTCATTTGATTACGGCAAAGAACTCCAGAGCTACCTTCTTAAGGCGAGGGATGCTTTCGTAGAGGACATTCTAAGGTTTAGATTTGTTTATTTGGTTATGGCAAAACACTCGAGGACTATCTACGTGAGAAAGGAATGCCTTGGTGGAGAACTTTCTAAGAGAACTGGCTCTGAAACATGTCACACGGGTCTAGGGCGTTTCGCCGTCGCAGTCGCCGTTTCGTAATCGGGCCATTTCGCCGTCATAACATATTTTTCTTTACCTGACTGTATTTTATCTTTGCCGTATTATACTCGTATTAAATTTATTTAGTTTAATAATTCTGTTTACCTTTTACCTTTTGTATACTTAATAAAGGTTGCTTTTAAAATATATATAGTTATTTAAAAAGTTATTTACAAATATGAGATATAAAGAAATTACACATAGTTCGAAAATTATGTCAGTTTCTAAGAGATCTGGGGCTGAACTTCTGATATAACAGAAGTTATATCATCGATTGTAAAATTATGCGTGTACAATATTTACATAATTCGTCAAAATTTCTTGAAATTTTAATCGGCTAGCTGAAAGAAATCACTCATACCAGCAGAAAATTCACATTTTTATGAAATTTGGATGGGAAACGAAATTACTTCGGAATCTTATCAGGACCTTACTCCCTTAAATTTAGTTGTCATGTATAACGTGTAGTTGTATAAAACTGTACGCAAAAACATTTTATATATTATTTTATATAAAATGGTTATCAGATTAAATTACATTCTTAAACTGAACAGAGGTATTAGTTTAAATCAACTTAAAATAATACGGCAAGATATAATACAGTCGTATAAAGAAAAATATATCTTAACGGCAAAACGTCCAGACGGCGAACGATCTGACGAGCGAAATGGCCCCGGTGAATCTTGGTGGAGAACTTCCTAAGAGAAACTGGCTCATATACACGTTACACATGGGGAAAAACACGGAAACTCCCATTTAGCTAAGCTATTCGCCGGATGAGGAGGAGCTGGTTGAGCGGACTGGTCGTTATGGCTCGCAAGTGGCTTGAATCCACGTGGACACTCGGCCTGTCTCCTCTGTATTAGGGTTTACCAACATAAGAGAAACTGCTATTTCTTGGCTGATCTTAAAATGCTTCTTAAATATGCCCGTTTGCGTGAGTTATTAAGTTGTGTCAAATTGAAGTTCGGGATAAAATGCAACCGTCAGAAATTTAAATTCATTTAGATTAAAATCTGAAAATTAATTAAGTCGTACTTTGTAACAGAAAGTGCCTGTTTATTCTAATAATAATACGACACGTACATATACTTTTAAAATCTTTTCATTTAGAAACTAGCAGATTATGTTTCAACAGGACAAGAATTTGAGGCTTAACAAGGCGCCTTCCGAAGCGTTGTTTCGCAAGATAAATGAAAACTGTTATTTCTAACGAGTATGTACTATGTTAATAATGACAGGAATGAAAGGTTTATGGTAATATCTAATAGAATAACTTAAACATTTTGAAATGGTGCAGAATACTAAACTTTAAAAATACTATTTATACTAAACACTTTTAGCGAAGAGGAATTCTTTTTTGTTATGACGCAGGTTTCGCCATTCTAATGAAATTTCGCAAGAGAGTTCCAATCTTTTGAAAGTCCAATTTTCGAAAGCTTTATATAATCCCTAGACTAGGTAGGGATAATATGCACATTTCCTTTTCCTTGACTTGAATAGTGCTTGTAGTCTTTGGCAAAGGAGGCGCCTTATAAAAGAATATTTTAGGAGAAAGTCCCCATGTTTATATACACAAGCTATTTTGCAAGCGGAACTCAAAGCTATTAACCGACTGAGGCATCCTGAAACATCAAAGAGATGCTTGGAAGCCATTAATTTTAATGAAGAGCAATGGCACTGTTTAGATTTCATTATCAAATTACCTCTTTCGCATTCTCTTTAATTTTCACTTTCTTGCACTCGTAGTTCATAAAAATAGTTTTAATTAATTATAATGACTCTTTTGGAATCTTGTGGAGAAATCGAAATAAAAGCTAAATATTGGGAGCTTTAGAAATATTTTTAGAAAATACATTCAGCATGTGATACGAATGATAATGAAATGTAAATATTTACTTAGAATATTATTTAAGCTCCTTAACATATTAATTCAGGTATAAATTTGAGAAATTTTTATGAATTTCTAATATCAATATATACGTTAATTATATTTGTGAAATCTGGTATTATACGCATTACTGAAAATGTTTTTTTCAAATATCAGTTTTTCATCTGAAACCTTGCGAAACTTATGTTTGTATTAACGCATAGTGAAGAATTTGAAAGATAATTGCCGAGACTAACAAAATAAATCAGTTCAAGCGAAATGAAGAGGAATTATTTTTTGCAACGTTTATTATCAGAAAATAAATTAAAGGACATAAGCTTTAAGTGCTTCAAAACTGCATTCGCCGAACATACGAAAAGAAATAATGGGTTTGAATGTTTATCCGTGGGCTTGAAATAATTAAAAAAAAAAAAAAAAAAAAAACTGAAAACTTTCAGATTATACGCTACACCCAAACGGGCTTGTTCAAAAAAATTTCATAGTTTGTGTGTTACCGTTATTGATTAAATATCATGTTTTTCACACTTAAACCATAAATTTTCACTTCGACAGCAATATCGCAAAATATTTTAAAATGAGCATACCTTTAGAACTTCTTATACACAGTATCGCGCGCTGGAGATAAAAACTTATTTTTTTTCCGGTACAGTGCTGCTATTGCTCGCTTTGAAATCGCTCAGTTTGTTAATAAGAAATTCATTAAAGCTTTACTAAATATGAAATCGATAATAAAACAAATTCCAAATTCTAAATCTGCGCTTCCAGATGCCCATATTTGGGTGGAGACATACGTTATTCAAAGTTTGATAGCTCTAGGTACCATTGTTTTATAACAATGCTAAAAACATACATACATTTATGCAGATTCTTCATTATTTAATTCTTTAAATACGATATAGGGCTCTAATATTTAGTGGTAACAATTTGGAAAGTGAACCGACATTTTCAACGCAAATTGCCAAAACGAAATTAGTCCTTCTGGGCAAATTGCACCTTTGATTTATGATAGTCGCATTGATTAAAAAAAATAGCAAACAGACATCACTTCTGCAATTCTGACCTCGATTCTGCTTAATCTTTATTTAATCCAAAGCAGTCAACTGTCAACAGCCAGGAAAAATGTACAATTGATTATATTTATTCTTAAAAAAGCATGAAAAGTACATTGAAATTCTCTAAGCATATTAATGTGTTCATTTAGTTACTGAAAAAAAATTCAATATAAAATATTTTAATATATTTGAAGAATTTACGGACTTGAATTTGTGAACTAAATTATTTTCTCCCTCCTTTCTGCATGCATTCTTTATGTAACGGATGGCACACTTGGTGCTTATTCGAAAGGTCCAGGTTCGAGTCCCGGCGAAGGCATTGCTCATTTTTCACATCTCCTGCTTCAAAATAACCTAATGTCTCTACAGTGACGAGAGAACTAAAAGGTGGTGGATGATGATTCTACATTACCAGGATTTAGCGATTGTGTCCCGTAATCACCAGTCGCTTTCTATAAGAGATAATGTAGGTAGGTATGGCTCGGTTCACCCTCCAGGCAAGCCCAAGGTCTCCTTATGTGTTTGTGGCCGAAAGGGATAAGGTATCTTCTCAGTTTTTTCTGCATGCCTACGTGGTGTAATGGTCAGCACACTTGGTGCGTATTCGAGAGGTCCAGGTTGGAGTTCCGGAGAGGGCATTGCTAATTTTTCATGTCTACTGGTTAGAATGGCTCTACAGCATATATATTTTAAAATAATATAGGCTTCTAAGTCTTTCTTTCTAGTTTTGAAATTCATGCAGCTTAATCTGGTGTCTTCCTTACTCTTACCAGAACAACTTCGATCAGCTATATGCTTATCGATTTTTATAATATTGCTACGTACATACGAGTTCGTATTGGATTGCAACTGGTGATAGTTGACAAAACTTATTTTCCTAACAGAAAAAAACTTTATAGTGTTTTGGAACTTTTCACAAAAGTATCTCTACATGGCAGAGCACAATCAATAGTTATCACTTCAAATTACTAAGAACGTTAAACACAAAAACATATAAAATATCTGAAAAGCGTAAGCTCGCACAGTGATCTCTCAATTCTGTCAATACTCTGAAATATGCTGATCTTCGATTTTAAATGGTTTGCCCCGTCTGCTCAGAAATTTCTATAATCTTCGATTTCTCGAAACTGCTGGAAGGTATATAGGTTACACTTACACAGGGCCGAATACAGTTATAATAATATAGGGATCAGATCAAAATAACGTCAAATGATGGCCAAGCATGGCGACTTTTGGCGATTTCTCACCAAAGTCGGTGACACAAATTAGTAATCATAAGCATCGACTTTTATGAACCTCGGGAGAACTCAGCGTGTAATTCAAAACCAACCATAACAAAATACAGGAGTTATTGTTTTCACATGTGATTTTTCTGAAGATGTATGCTTCTTGACGATAACTCTGGTTTGCTCTATTTTGAAATATTTCAGTAGAAATAATAATATGGCATTTAATAACTTTATAGTTAAGATACATGGAAACACCATTGTTTCTTTAAGGCATTTGATTAAAAGTTCATGCATGCTTTTAATGTTTTAAAGTGTAAAGATATTTCGCACTTTACTCGAGGTTAAATTTGATTTTATGAAATACCTGTGATGATAAGCTTGCCAGAAGAACTACTTTGTTTGATTGCCCCACTGATCCTGTGTTTTGTTTGGCAATAGTACCTCCTCATGCCATCTAGTGTTTGATCTGCTTGTCGTATGTAGAGTTCTCCTGTTGGAAATACACTGTACCGTCCACCTGTAATAATAATAATAATAATAATAATAAAAAAAATTATGATAAATTCTTCAAAATTTTAAACAATAACAGCAATTAAGTTAAGAGAAAGACTAATTTTCACTTCCTTGTACGAAGAAAAAAGGAAGTAGTATTGTAATCGCGAAAAGTTTCAGGCAGCATATTTCAACGAAAATATCCATTTTGACCGCTATCGAATGCCCCAATTTAACGATGTTTTTGCGTGATATCTGTACGTAAGGACAGAATAAAAGACGCGCTTTTCCTCCAAAAAAAATTATAAAAACTGCTTTAAAATTAATTCTGAAGAGAATTTTTCGTGGTGTCTGTACGAACGTATAGTACGTACGTATCTTCGCATAACTCAAAAACGAGTAGCCTCAGAACGTTGAAATTTCGTATATAAGGACTGCTATAACATGTAGTATGTGCACCTCGTATTTTGGTTGCAATTCGGTCGCAGCAAACGTACATAAATATATTTATGTATATATATATATATATATCCACTCTGTTACCCGGCTGAGTGATCTCAGTTTCTTTACTCTTATATGTTTGTAAATTGTACGTTTTTGCTTTAAAAATGATTGAATTATGTTTGTTCTTATCTTCCGTTAAGGTTTTTATGCCTTTTAGGAAATCTGTAAGCAATATTTTAGTAAATTATCAACCATTTCAAATGCTGTTTAAGTGCGGTTAAGCCTAATAATTTTAAATGAACATGGCGGCCATGTACATTGTTTTACATTTGAAACAGCAGAATAGTGGATTTGTTGCCAATCTAGAGAACTTAGCTTCGCACAACAAAGATAACACATTCATTTATTATTGCGAATTAAATCATTGCTTAATCCTTTCTGGAATTTTTTTAAATGAGGAATAAGTGTTTAAGATTTACTTCGTAATTTTATTACAGATACTTTGAGTTTTTGTGTATTTTTGCCCTCTCGCGAAGTGAGAACTGAATTAATTGAATGAGAAGTAGTCAATCGTCTGTGAAAAACTGTTTCCTTTTTATCATTCTAGCTTTATTATAGTATTTGAATAGAACATGTGGCAACGATTAGATAATTCTATTCTTTAATTATATAAATTTTGTGCATTCTGAGCTTATAATATGAACGAATATAATACTGTTGTTAAGTGAATCCTAGCGCCAGAGTGTCACTATGGTAAACAAATACTAGAGTGAATTTTAAAGAATGCATTTATTCTATTGTCATTTATTCGCTATCGGCGAAGTATATTTAATTAAATCAAATAAGTTTAAATGAAATGCTAGAAAAAATGCGTATAATTTAATATTCCGTACAAGGAAGTCATCTGGTGTACACATCCGATTTTTTACTTAATTGTATGGTATGTAACTGAAAGAATGCGAAAAATTTCAGGTATGATATTTCAAATACGATATCCATTTTGACAGTTCCGGAATCCATCTTGACTATTTTTTTGGTTGACAGAAAATGGAAGGTATGTAAAATTTTGTACATAAAGAAAGAATAAATGCCTCTTGTTTTCCAAAACGGATTGAAAAATGCATATAAAATGGATTCAAAATGGACATTTTTGTGATGTTTGTGACGTTTGTACTTATATATATATCTCGTATAACTCAAAAGCGATTAGCCGTGAAATGCTGAATTGTAGATGGGAATGTTATAAAATCTAGTTATGAAACTTCTTTCTTATTGCAATTGGCAATTTCAAAAGTATATATATATATAACGCAGTCATCTTCATGTGTTACTGTGTGCCTATCCTGAATAGTTAGTTAAGGGGACTCATACACCTTAAACGCCTCATGATCTTCGAATATGTGACTATTGCAAGAACTGGGATATTTTATTTATTTTAAAAGCAATTACTTCCAACTTTTTACAGCTGACTTCATGAAATAGCTGCTTTGGAAACTAGTAACCAGAAAGTTTGTGTTGAAACAAATATTTTTGTAATTTAATCCTCTTTGTCACAAAATATTTCGCCATATTTCCACCTTGCGCGCATATGTTAAAAAGGGCTAATGGTACATACTTGAAATTTGATGGAATTCTTTATATGGGCACACTATTTTCTAACTGAACCAACAATCTGATGAATATTTTACTATTGAAAAATTTTATGGACGAAAACATTACAAATTTTTTTAATAAAATACATTTTAAAACTCAACTCAAAATAAAATAAAAATTTAACATGAAATTTTAGAATTTTAGGTTCACAGTAGTTTCCAACGTTATAAAATCTATATATTAAATATGGAATTAAATTATGAGACAGAATGTTTTAAACTGTGCGCGCAAGTTGGAAACATGACGGAAAATGTTGTCACAAAGCGGATTAAATTATAAAAATATTTGTGGCAGCACAAACTTTCTGATTAGTATTTCAGAAAGCAGCTATATTATGTAGTCTTCTGTAAAACGTTGGTAGTAATTGCTTTTAAAATAAATATGTTATCCCAATTCTTGCAACAGTCACCTATTCGAACATCTTATGGGTTTTAAGGTGTATGAGTCCCCTTAATTTGATACTAATGCTTTTCATTTCTTCTGAGAGTGGGCAGGAACTTAAAGATGATGGATTAAAGTTTTACCCTTGAGGTGTAGAAGACAGTCATCAACATAAAAATTGCATTTCAGGTTATAAGGTATTTCTCCCACCTTCTTGGCATGACTTCGTGGTGTGGTGGTTTGCCCACTGGGCGCGTATTCCAGAGGTCCGCTTGGACGGTCTTCCGGAGCTCGAACATAGTTAAGGTAATACCTTACAGCAAGTGGTGCCCAACCTTTGGTCTCTTGCGAGCACATTGAAAAAAACATCAACATTTTTGTTAAATATATTTCCAATTTTATGTGATACACCTGAAATATAATTTTCAGAAAGTGGGTTTGAGATTAATAATAATATTGATTGAAATTTATGGAAATCAGAGAAGCGGAGTTCAAAATTAATTTTCAGTGCATTTAGGCTTTCCGAGTATTTCTATGATTCAATTGCCTTGTGGTTATTCATACGGCTTGATAAATTCTGAAAAATAGGTGCATTATTTTTACAGAAATGCTGTTTGTACTACTCATAAGTTTTAACAGGTCTTCGAGTATTCTATATTAAATACATATATATACTAATAAATATGTTTCAAAATTAGTATTATTACAAGATACTTTGGGGACCTTTACATATGAAGCATCTTCTGATATGTACAATCATAGTTATAATTTTACATACTTATATTCAGTAAACCCCGAATAAATTAAAAAAAAAAAAAAAAAAAAAAGATTTGCTCATTTCAATATAAGGTATTTCTCCCGCCTTCCTAGCGTACCTACGTGGTGCAGTGGTCAGCACCCTGAGCCGGTATTTCAGAGGTTTGTGGTTTGATTCCCGGCGAAGGCGGTTGCTAATTTTTCATCTCTCCAGTTTCCAAAAATCCTAATGCCTCTACAGTGGCGCCCGAACTAAGAGGGCGGTGGATGGCGATTTCTCCCCACCCAGGATTTGGCGATTCGGTTCCCTAAAACCCCCAGTGGCCCTTTAAAAGGGCAGTTTTCCCGCCTTCATAGCGTGCCTTCGTGGTGTAGTGGTTCTGCACACGGGGCCGGTATTCCAGAGGTCCGTGGTTCGATTCCCGGCAAAGGCGGTTGATAATTTTTCATCTCGTCTGCTTCCAAAAAAATGCCTAATGTCTCTACAACATTATTGTATGTTTAAAACTTACTTAAATAGATATGTTTTAAAACTTCAACGATTTGTACATCACTTTGCGTTTAAAATAAAACTGTTCTTTTACAGCAGCTTTTTTAGGAAAAAATAACATGAGTTACGAAGCATGCTTTATTTTCGTAAGAGAGGTTTGAATAAAAATTCAGTTAACTGAAAATTGTAAAATAGTTAAAGACACAACTTTTAAATCTTGAACGTAAATCCCCAAGACTCATCAGTTTAAATAAAATATTAACATAAAAATTAGATGTTTGAAAGCTTAGCGCAATGCAAAATCCTTCCGTTGAGATGGGCCATAGGCATCTTCTATTAACAAAACATTTTGCAAACTTTTATCTGAAACGTTAGCAGATTTTCGTTGATTGTTAGCGGCTTTCGTTGAGCCTGTGAAGTTTCAAGCAAATGACTCTTTCTCTGTACTACTTCCTCTGTAGTAATGATAAATGGTTCCACAGAGTGATGTCAAGCAAATAAGTAAGGCGAAAGCAATCGCCTTTCTGTTTAATTAAAACATACTAAATGTTTAAGATTGTGTCCACGAGAGCATTATCAACGTACGAGAACAAGCACACTTTTATTAACTTTCTGGACATAATGATAAATTTTCATATATTCCTCTGATTTAAATAAAACTGCTTTATAAATGTTTCAACTGTATATTATATGGTTTATTCGCTGAAGAACTTCAGATTTAGGAAATGTTGGATGTTTTATTATATTCAATGTAACATAAACTTTTTTAGCTATTTGTTAATACATTTCGATAGTTGAGTAAGAATTGCAACACTTCTTACCAACGATTACAGAGGCTGTTCCCATACTTTCTAGACGATTTTGCTTTGTTATTAAAAAACATATGCAGCTTGCAAATGTTTCTAGGGACAGCTATGTTTTTGAAAATATAAATTATCTTTTGCTACTTGACAGTTTTGTTTTTATGCAAACTGGTGCTGTCAGGCAAGCAATGAACGGAAGGCTACGCTTATGCTCTTTCCGAAACATTATTCGTATCCAGTTATTAAAAAACGCTGTGAAAGCCATGATTTGTCGATATCTAAAGCTATGCTAGGTAATATTGCTAATTAGAAAGGGAAAAACGTCGAAGTTTCGCTTCAAGTGAAAAAAGTTGTTCCAAATACATATCTAAAGAAAACACGGAATGCTTTGAATGTTGCATAGGTAAGATCTTTCATGTTAAAAGAAAATACGCCAAGTCAAAGATTAGTTGCAAAATCATTAAAATGCTCAGTATCAATTGTAAATAAAGTGATTACTATACTAGATATGAATCTTGAAAAGAAGGAAAAGCATAATGTGCATCGTGTTTCTCCTCGACATATCGCCGAACGCAGAGCGAGCTGCAGAATTCTTTATTATGAGAAACATTTATCCTGACAAAAATGGAAAAATGATGTCACAATAGATGAATCTTGGATTTATTTAAATAACTGCAATAAAAAGAGATCCGTTTATTATCATTAAAGAAGACAAAAAAATCTTAAAACATGGTTCAAAGAATTCGGAGAAAGTTATTGAAATGGATTTATGACTGCTGCTGACTTTTCATATAACGACAAATTAAAAATAAAAAGAGCAGATAAAAATCTTAATATCAACTCCACATATTATCAGAAGCATTAATATTTTGTAGCCAGTTCTCAAATGTGAAATAACTTCTCTTTATCCACAGTGCCATCAATTAGTAGAATTGCATGTAGACAAAGGAAGCAGCCACACTTCAAAACCCACTGTTAATTTCCTGGAAAAAATTGAATGAGAAACGAGTATCGAGGCCATATCTTCAGTCATATCCCTGCTAAATTTCCAGATGTATCAGCAATGGATTTTTGCACTTTTCGACTTTTAAAAGTCTTATTTTCCAAACGTCGACCTACAACCGTCCTTGGACTTTAGAAAACTGTTCATAAGGAAAGGGATAAAATACCTCTTCTGATACTATAAAAGACTTTATATTACAGTTTAGAATGATAGTGAAAAATAAGGGTTACCAAACAGACTACCGGTTCTCAACCTTTTGACTAACGCGACTAACCATGTAAACAAAAATTGAAAAACTTCAATACCACCTCTACATTTTACAATGATTATTTTTAAATTCCTCAATAAAAATCTTTAAAAAAATATATTTTGCCATTTGCACAACCTGTCGGCTATTTGTATTAAATATGCACATATAAAAATATTAGATTAAAAAATAGGTTACCATCATAATTATCAAAATTTATTTATATATTAATTTTAGTTGTAGAACTTTGGGCCTGTTGAAGGCAGATAATTTTTTTATGTCTTGTCATATTTCACTTAGCTTTAACCGTAAATTAGGATCCATATTTAAATGGATGAAAATGTTTATTCACACAAATAGGTTGTGCAAAAAGATAATAAAAATTTAATATCTTTATTTGAAATGCCTCTAAATTCTTTTTTTCGGCTCAGCCGAAAGTTAACATGTGTGTTATTTTTTAAAGCTTCAGTTAGAGTTCCATTGCAGAAAATTTCTATCAATTTTTCTTTTGCTTAACGAGATTTTTGAATTTAATCGTTAAAAATGCTTTTTTACTTACTTTGTTTCTTTGCGTGATATAAATTATGCCAAGAATTTGTATCATATAAGTGAATGCTTACGAATCAAAAATAAAATTTTTGAGTAAGTAAAGTTTAATAATTAATAAGAATGCGAATATCTCCAAACATGAACTTACCAGAAGCGATTTCGGCATGTATAATGTGCCCATCGTCCCTCATCCAAGACATTACTGATACGTACTCCTTTACAAAGCTTGGTATATGACACTTCAGGACAGCTGTGTTACCTTTTGTTACGAAGACATCGTACACTTGAGTTTCATAATATTGCATCACAGCTGAAATAAAAAGCTTTAATTTAGATTTAAATGCAAAAGTAATTTATAAATATTTAAAAGTAATATGTAGAGAATGCAAAATTTAGAAATTGCGTTAAAATATTTTTCAAAATGCACTTTGACTGATAAATTCCTCCCTTATCTTGATATATGTTCTACAAGAGAAATTCTGACTCAAGGAGAAATTTCACTGCTTCACCCTTTCAGGGGTTCGCCTTGAAACAGCTTTTAAAATTTTTTAAATTTGAAATTGGTGTTTTTTCTCAAAACCGCTGCTAAATAAATTACTTTAAGCTGATATCAGATGCAGCCCAAACTTCGGGACCATAATGATAAGAATATTCAAAAATAGCTTCTTTACCCAACTTCTTTTGACCATTTTAAAACAAAAAAAACCAAAATTTTTAATTTTTCACAATATATTTATAAGAGGCATCAAGATTAATGAAATTCCTTAGTTCACAAAAAAGCAATGGAACCTTTTAATTTGAATGTTTTCATGGTTCATATGAAAACGCCCTCTGAGACATCGAAGAAGGTAGATGAAGCGTCGCGAGGTTTCTTGCAGTTGGTCTTTTGCTTTCGGATCACTGCTGTAACATTGCACCATATCTTGAGGGCTTCAAAGATGAGGATTTATGGGCTTTTGAGAGAGGAAAAACATTCTTATTTTTTAGAGCACAGGGCCACTGAAAAACACTCACAGTTGCGTTTTTATAGCTCTCTAGCGGCCGTTTTCAGCTTCTAGTTCATAGTAAATAATGTATGCATCTAATTATTTATTTTACATATAATTTTCTTAGTTTTTAACATAATTTTTAAAAATACTTCAGAGTTTTATGTAAGTAATTTAGTGCATTATTAGTTACATTTTGTCTCATTTCGCCCCTGAAAGGCTTCAGGGGGTAGAATGTGGCCAGTCTGTTATTTACACGAATCCCTGAATTTAAAAAGTAAATACTGAAATCTTACGTTCTAGGTTAATGATAAAATTATTTCAGTTTATTAAGATAAAGTTATATTAGTTTCATATAATATTATGCGCATACATTGGTATATTATGTAAATCTGATAAAAAAAGATAATCAAAGAAAAAATAATATTTTTCGCAATTTGTATAGATCAAATTTAGTTGTTCTAGCTCTGCATTAAGTAAGTGTCAATCTACAATAGCATATGTTTAAAGGGAAATTTAAAAAAAAGTAAAAATTATATTTTGGAAAGAATTTGATTCACGAAATACCGTTGAATAATTTCACATAAATATATTCTTTAAAAATAAGTGGCAACTTAAATAATTATTTTTACTTTATTCTTAAATATTACTTTTAGACATTTTTTTTTAAATATTCAAATTCAGTAAACTATTTCTTTAAGGAATAAAGAAATAAAAGTTTCTATTTTTAGAAAAAACGTTTTTCTCAATAATTCTTTAGTGAATGCTTTACAAAATGAACCATATTTCGATACTTTATTTTTATAAAAAGAAAAGCTAGGGTTGAAAAGTTTTAAAATAGCTGATAGGTGAAAACTTATCCGCGTAAATTTTTATTTTAATTAATTTCAATCAAGACCGATTAACAAAAAAGTGACTATTTGGAAAAAGAAAAGAAAGAAAAAATACTAACATTTACTAGTTAGGAATAAATTACATGTATCTGTTTTCTATTCAGATTTTTTTTAATCTTCCATATTAAAATAGTTAAATGCATTTTTTACGAGATGAAGTAAAGGAACGTAAACACATCAGTTTTTCTGATTATTCATAATTGTGCTAACTATGTTTAAAGCCAGATAAGTATTGAAGTTTATTAAGTTAAGTTTCAGAAAATATAGCACCCTTGTAAAGAACTTATTTTATACTAATGAAATTTTTTTATTTTAAGACACTTTCCTCCTTTCAGATTTCAATTGCCTGCAGAATGCAAATTTAAGGGGACCATTACACCTTAAAAACCCATAAGATGTTCGAATGTGACTGTTTGCAAGAATTGGATCACTTATTATTTTTTAAAAGCAATTATACCAAACTTTTTTTACAGCCTGACTACATAATATAGTGCCTTTCTGAAATAGTAATCAGAAATTTTGTGTTGCCACCAAATATTGTTATAATTGATCCGCTTTGTGAAACATTTTTAGTATGTTCACCTGCCGGCCACCAGGTTTGAAACATTAGTTTCAGAATTTAAATCCTTTTAATATAAGCTTTTATAACATTTGGAAACTACCTTAACTAAAAATTCTAAAAATTTCATGTTAAATTAATTTATTTGAGTTAAATTTATTGAAATGTATTTTATTAACAAAATTTTAATTGTGTTCGTCCATGAAATTTTAATATTAAAATATTACAGATTGTGGTTCAGTTAGAAAGCAGTGCCCCCATATAAAGAAGTTCCACTCACATTTCAAGTATGGACCATTAGCCCTTTTAAAATATCAGCGCGCAGGTGGAAACAGGGCGAAATATTTGTCACAAAGGGATGTATTTAAATTACAAAAACCTATTGTGGACAACACACACTTCTGGTTACTATTTTCTAAAGCAGCTTAAATTAGGTAGTCAGCTGTATAAATGTGTGGAGAGTAAGGCTTTTAAAATAAATAAAATATCCTAATTCTTGGAATAGTCACATATTCGAAGATCTTAAGGGCTTTAAGGTGCATGAGTCCCCTTAAATTATGCATGCGCAAATTCTCAGTGAGTTCGAAAATATTATTTAAGCAGCAGAATTGAAGAGTTCGCAGTAGAAGAATTAGCTTCCTACTGTCGGATTTTACCCAAAATCAAATTAACTCTTTATATGAAAGTAGAAAATTGAAATATGGAAAATTGACATTTGTAGAAATTTATAAGGTATCGTGAGCGAAACAAATTGTCATACACATACGCCAGACAGACATAATTTTAAAAGTTGTAAAAATGCTTTTAGGGAATTCTATTTCGTGCTTAGTCACTGACAACTCACTATTGAATTTTTTCACCGAAATCCTTAGCTCCTTTATCTATGGTTATAGGTTAGCGGGAGGTGAAAAGCGATTTATTTTTATTTCTTTCAGACAAATTACAAAATATAATACATTGAAATGTCACTTAATTAGGGACGAGTTAGGCCTCCTCTGGACTTAATAATGGCTGCCACACAAAGAAGCATAGATTTAATACGTTTACGGAAGCATTCTACAGAAATGGCTTGCCAAACATCGCATAGAAATGTCCATAATTCAGGAAGAGTCGCTAATGTTGTATGATGTGGTTTCCTACCTTTCTCCAAAGCGTCATAAAAGTGCTCGATAAGATTTAAGTAAAGGCTACTAGATGCCCAATTTATGACAGAAAAGTCAGAAGAATGCTCATCCGACCAGGCAGTAGGCCAACCGGGGCCAGTGAGAGATCAGCATTCTTGCTGGAATAAGCCATTTCCGTGTGAATGACAGGACAGTATAAATGGATGGGGGTGATAGCCCAGAAAATCTACATTATATTTTAAATAATGAAATGAAATCAAATAAATAATACATTTTTTAAATAATGAAATGAAATCAAATAAATAGGGATAAAAAAGGTACATTAGGTAGTTGTTTCTTGTAAATAAAGATACTAAAGTTATAAACAAAGTTGTTTGTTGACAAGCATTGCGGAAGTTTTATTTGGTATATCATGAAAGAAAACTGGTATGGAGTTATAGTTTTTACACTCCTGAAAAACAGAACTACCATCATGATAGTTATATTCTTTAAGCTCCCTTTCTATCTAGGAGATTTAATTTTTAAATATGCCGCCTCTGCTTCGTACAATATCTTCCTAGTTTCCTTGTTGATATATTTGTTTTCCTACAGGCACAACGGTTACATAGATCCAGGATATTACAGCAAATAGGTTACGAGCTTTCAGAAGAGATTGAGTACAACTAGACGATGGAAAAACACACAACGATGCATGGTCGAAAATGCTTTCCTGGTGTAATCGTGACGACACTAAACACAAGAACGGAAGAACATGAAAAGGATGAGGAAACATGTTTATTATGCTTAGTAAGCAAAAATCAAGAAATAAGAACAAATTAGACAATGATCGTCATCAAAGGTGTTCGAAAGTACAACCCAGAACCGTGACGTAAGCCCCAGATTTCAGACACATGGAAGACCTGATGTTCTGGAAAATACCATCATGTCCTGGACTTAACCAGCAGTTGCCACGATGAGCGCACCAAGACTGTGGAAACAGATGAGTGCACCAAGTTTCTCAGCACATATAACAGGGGGTTCCTGCACCAAAGTCTTGACGTATTCCCAGAGGAAGTTCTTGTTGTTGTTTCGTTGTCCATATTACGTGGAACAATGGTTGCCAGAGCCTACTCCGAAGAGAGTTTGGACTCCTATTTTCCACCACCAATTTTGAGGGAGAGCACCCCGGGGGGGGGTATTTTCGGCTCGCCGCATATTTAGAGTACCGCCATGCCGGACCGACACTGCACATTTACAAACATCCATGTCTTACCGGGCCCTTCGGTACCGTAGTAGGCTCCCGTAACCACTATATCGTCTGTGCGACACCAGAGAACGTAGACAATGCAAATGAGGTCTGGCAATCTTGCTGGCCAATCCACCGGGTCATCCCTGTCGATCCCATGTTGAGGATACGTTTCGTAGGTAATTTCGAAAACCTTCGATGACGCCGCTGCGCTAAGCATAATAAACATATATTCTTATTCTGTTCGTGTCCTTCCTTTCTTGTGTCTTATGTCATCACTACCCCGCCACGAAAGCGTCTTCGACTATGCATTGCTATGTGTTTTCCATCATCTTAGTGTGCTCTATCTCTCTTCAAAGTTTGTAACCGATTTGCTTAAAAACCTTGTATAAAAATGACACGTAACCTGTACTGAGCTGGCATATTTATGATTAGGTTTCTGAGATAATGGAATCAGTTCCTGTTCCGTTTAAGACCATGAACTTATTTGTATATTTTAAATTATGACACTGTTCTTTAATAT